ATGCCGCGTGTTCCATCCTGTCTTTAGGGAAAGCGTGCAATCTCGTTTCAAGAAAGGGAATCTGCTATTTTTAACAGCTGTTCGCTAACTCGTCGAGTCTATATTTATCCCGAGTTCGTAAGGTATTTCGAGCGAGTACCTCGGCAGAAAAATGCGAGGTCTCCTGGATCGGTCAACTTTTTGCCTCTCCTCTCTGCGTCTCCCCCTTTGTCGAGGAGCGACTCACCGACGAATAAAAGTGAGAATCCGTGCGTACAGACGCGAAACATTTACCATCGAAGCACGTCGCAACAAAACGCGTCCGTTTCATACAGAACTAACAAGTACTTTCTAAAGTATCGTTTCCTATACCCGACCGAACCGGTGAACCGACCCTGAAACCAGGTAGGGGTCCAACCAACACCCTCGTAAAACGTCTGAATTCCTTTTTCGCTCGGTAGGCGAGAAATGATCAACGGGTACTGAGTGACGTTTCGTGGCATCGAGCGTTCGGTCGTCCGCGATCATCGTTGCCCTATCCGTGCGTCGGTTACCTCAACGCTTCTCATCCTGAATCGCTTACTTTACGTCGTGGCAGACCAGTTCCGAGAACGTATAAAGAGGCGAAAGAGTCCGATCCTCCCCAGCTCGGCGTCCGGTCCATTTCTGGGGCCCGTCGCACGGTTCGAGTCCCGGCAGGGGCACCGGCCGCTTCGTCGCAAACCTGTATATCTGGCTGCGAATACGTACGTGCGCGTACACGTTTCTAACGAGTCTCATTAAGCGAGACAAGGACGAGCGGTGCACGGTGCCGGCCTTGGGAGATCTTTGCACCCGCGGTCGCGTCTTCTCTCGCCGTCGCGTTTCCCTTCGCGCTTCCCCTTCGAAGGCCGCGGAACGACTCCGCCCAGGTCATGGACCACGCACCTGTACCGATCCCCTTGCCGTCTTTTTCTACGCGCATCTTTCCTCGTCGAAGGTCTCGTCTACAGTGATCAAGAGGCTGGCCACGGGAATCTCCTGACATCTTCTCTTACCCCGAGAGAGAGAGAGAGAAATGAAAAATATGGGCAGTGGTACGAGTAATTATATATTCTTTTAAAGACTCGGACGGTCGTTCGAACTCGAACAGAAATCTCTGCCAGTCATTAATACCGTTATCGTTAAACGGCTGTACAGATGGTACGACCGACACGCATTCGATTTATCGGCCTTCATCGGTTTCATGATTTATGACGTTCTCGCAGCGATGATCGAAGGTGCCGCGATGATCCGACGATAGGCGAAATGATGCATGGGGTCGGCTCGCGCCCGGTTCATTTTCTCGAGCCCTCGTGAGTGAAGCGACTAGCGTCTTCCTTTTGGTAGCAAGAAATCGTACATCGTTGGCTCTCCAAATAAATCGTTCGTTTAGCTCGGAAGAAGCGCGAAAACGTCGTCGATCATCCCGTGAGAACGGACGGAAGGACGCGTCGGAGGCGAGCACCACCGTCGAAATGAATTCCGGAAACTCGGCGGTACCATCGACCGTGAAAAGATGAAAGGCGCGGTTCTGGTCTGCGAGCGACGCATCGATCGAACGCGTCTTCGAGGGAACGATCGCGCGAGGGTAGGCGCGTCTAACTTCCGGGGTGGTGGTCATTAAATTTCAGCCGTACGCACGCGGCGGCGAAGCTAATGGTCTCTTTGAGAATGGTCTGGCTGTAGCTGTTACCACGCTTCGTGATCCACATAGTTGGACATGCTCGGTAACGCGGTTTAAGCGCAGACCACTGATCCTTCTTACAGCTCGCGCGTACGCGCGTATCTACTATCGGGAAACGTGTAACGAGGGAGCGATGAATGGCCGGAAAAAGGCGTCCATTAAAGTACGCGCTGATCTGCAACGACAAACGAGCGAACGCGATACTGCGGAACGATTCGAAGTACGATCAACGATTCAGCATCGTGTGTTAATTAACGAGAATGCTCGAATCGTCGGAGAATCCGTCGTTGGACGGTGTAAAAGAAAAATCCCTGAAAGGCGACGACGCATCTCTTTGTAACGAGGCGAACGTTCAGATTTCTCTTGGCGTCAGGCCGTCTCAGGGTCAGCGAACGTCGATACTGTCGACGTTAATGGGGATTCTAACGGCGGGCCTTCTGTGAGATGCCGACAAACTCCGCGTCCTTCGACGGAAATTGCATAGCACTGGACGGGCCCTTTTGTCGCTGCAACGGGTAAACGACCCGTGCCCAGGCTTTACGAGTGAATTCCCTGAATGCTCAATTCAAACGCCGCGGATCTTCTCCTATGTCACGTTTAATCTTAATTAAACGCGAATCGAACGTAGCTTGCGTTTAGACTGATACCGAACCGTCTCAGTGGACAGGGTGAGGCGAAATGTTCTCGTCGAGGTGCTAATATTTTTACCAGCGAAATTTCCACGAGGATCGGCGTACCGGCCGATCGGTCGGAGAGTAATCACTCTCCCTCCGTTCTTTCCGTGCAAACGTAATCGTTTCGTTCTCCAAGATGTTGACCCAAATCGCGGACGACTGTCATTTGGAGCATAGCGATCGACCGACTCATGGAAAATCGCGTGAATCAGTATCCCCGATCGAGTCGTTTATTTACGATCGCAACGACTGATCCTAGGTCAGTCTATAATAAAACGTTGGACCGACGCGAACGAGCCTGAAGAATAAATGAGTGATAATAATGAGTTTTATAATCGAGACAGTTTGTAACTTGGTTTTGTTCACGGGAGCAAATATTTCGATTCGCGATTCGCTGTATGGACCCGTACCGTTATCCCGATATCTCACTGTCAAGGATGTTGTAGCTGGACGTTCAATTGAAACGATGAGAAAAGAGTAGAGACAAAAGCAGAACGCGGGACGAAAGACACGCGGGATAAGGACCGCAGGACGTCGTGTACGGTAAATTGAATTTCACGTGGTCGAAATGAATAAGCTGTGGCCACGATGAAGACCGCGCGTTCGTCCCCTTAATTTTTCTCATTTCTCCGTTGTTCCGTAATGCTAATGAAAAGAGATGTCCGGGGATAAATCAAGAACGACGTAAAGAATGACCCTTGACGAACTCGCGCGCGGTCCACCACCGCGAACCACCTCTTTCACGCTGACTCGTTGTCTCGTAAATACGCTGCGGTACCATCGCCGCGTCGTTCGACGCATAATAGAAACTCGGTTTTAATTCAAGCTGTACCACCGTGACATAAACATTATTAAGAATCGCTCACGTTCCCGAGTATTAAAATCGTTTTTACCACTTGGCCTCGAACGCTGACGCTGGTGAAGGAGTCTGAACATGAGGACGTTCCATGATTACGTTTCATCTTCGAAACGGCTCGTGCGATTCTGCGTCGTTGACGCGTACGCGGTCAGCGCTGGTATTGTAATCGGCGAGAGAACGGGCAGAAACGGGGCACGGTTTCTTCCCACCGAGTCACGACGTCGATGAAACCCCTAACGGTGCATCGTTGCTACGTTGAAATTCTTGGCCGATGGATTCCCGATTCGATCCGACCGATGTGCCGCGGTGAACCGGCAATCTAATCGCGTACATGCTCTCGGGCCGCTCGGTCGTGCGCTCGATACGCGATTTCAGCAGGCGCGATTCCCCTCCGGGGACGATGACGATGTTCACGATCAGATCGACCCGACGTCGTCGATACTCGATCGTTAGACGACCGTGACGTTTCGCGGAAACGACCCTCGTACCGGACACGTTTACCCGTGTTCGATTCCGACACGATAACGCGATTTGTTTCAATCGTGGTACCACGTCGAGCCAGAAAACGTTTGATCCTCCAGTGTCCAAACGTTAGACAAGAACTTTTGCGCCGACCCGACGTATCACGTATGCCACGAGATAATGATATTCGAGTTGCGTCACAGCCTTTTTTTAGGATCGGGTTCCTCGTTTTCGGAGGCAACGACCTCGGCGTACGCGCGCTTCTTGCCCGATACGACCGTGAAGTCTGCGATCGTGCGATCCGCAAAATTGCTTTTCACCCTTCATCGGAATCGTTAATTTCGTGCGAACGCAAACATCGAGCACCGTGGCGCGTCGCGAAAGTATTTTAATCTCGCGGAATGATCGTTTTTATTGTCTCGATGTCGAGGCGACTCGAAGGTTCGAGGTGTAAGCGGTAAAAACGTTTTCCTGTCCAAGTACGTATCGGGCATCGATTCAGTGATTTCACGCGTGGTTTCTCTGTGACGGCAACTGATTGGCAACGGACCGTGGCAAACGTTACAGCGTATCCACAACGTCCACAACGTCTCTCCATTTATCGAGTTTTAGGCAAGCTGGTCCACTCGTCGGACCTTGAGGCACCAAGTTTTCTCACCGGTTTCAGTCGTGTGTGCCGCGGGATGAACTTTACCCCACGTAACAGTTCTCGCGATTCTGGGACGTACGTTAAAGCTTCGACGTTTCTTTATTTTCACGCTTTGGCGATTTCAATCTGATCTTTCTCGCGAAAATAAATGATGTCGTTACGTCTCTGTAACCGGATCGTATCAGTCTCGAGGATCGCGTTCCATGCACTATCATTAAATGGGACGATGTAATAAGTTTTCTGTACGGTGCCACCTGCAGCGCTTTGGAGAAGCATCTCTTCTCCTTATGTTTATTTCTTTTTTAAAGCATGCCTTCTCGCGGCGGAGCGGTACCGTTACTAGTATTACTGTACACCTGACTAAATTTATTGCTCGTTCCGATTATTGAATCGCGACGGGTCAGTTGGTCAATAAATATAAAATGCCCGACGCGAAGGGAAACTTTCCGCCGCAGTCGGCCAATAACGCTACCAGAGAATTACGTTCTCGTCACATACCGTTCTCACACGATGGAAGAAGCTAATGGTACGCGCGTAACGCGACGGCAAGTGGGAAATGAAAATTGGAAACGAGCGAACGACCGAACGGATAAATTCCTTTTCCCGGATCGTCGTTGGTCGTCGCGAACAACGATTGTTTTTTAAATACGCGGATACGTTTTTAAATTGTAGAACGACTATTACTTACCACCGCGCTCGACGTGGTCCCGAGTGTCGCCTCAGCAAACGAAGAAGCAGCGAGGTAGCACCACGTGGAAGATTGGCAGCGCGATGTTAATTGTCTCGGCTATGCTGGTGCTAATTGCGGTCTTGGCGATCGCAGGGCTCGCTCTATGGATGGGAGGTTCGTTCGACTCTTGCACCCTGTTTGTCAACGTTACGCGAGATCGTGTTGGTAAAAAATCGATTCTGTTTCAGCTCTACGGACCGACTCGAAAAATGGTGAGCGTCACGGTCCACTGATCGACAGGTATAACAGGACGAAACGAGTAGAGTGTGAAATACGAGTGTCTGCAATGTTTCAGCGATCGTGGGGTTCTCCTGTAGCTTCAGGGTGTCCAAGGGAGAGAAATACAATCCGATGTTAAAACTGAACACCAGCATGGTGTTCCGCGAGAGGGAACGCAAGTACAAGAACATAGTAAGTTGGCCGAGTAACAGCCGTTCGTCGATGAGTCGCGTCGTCGCGCGTAGTTAAATAGAGAGTTCAAGGATTGAGAGACGAATCGTGTGTTTCAGTTCGAATTGTTATTTAGAAGAAGCGTGTTGGGCACCGCTTACAAGCAGACGATCGTAGATAAGTTCGAAAGCGGTCTGCTGAAGGTGTTCTTCAGGATCTATCTCGACAGGAGGAAGGTGCCGCGGTCGATCACGAACGTCGAGGACACGATCGAAGACATCATCGCGAAAGAGACGTATTCGTCGTCCTCCTTGTTCAAGGACGTGGAACTGGACCTCGCTAGTATATCAGTAAAAAGTGAGCATCCGCTGGATCGATCGCGATGAGAAAACGACGTCATAATTAAACAACCATTAGCGTAACTTTGACTCTGCCGCTCGTACGGTATCAAGATGCATGTTCTTTTTCACGATCCGGCGCGTTCACTCTCGACGCGTCGCGTAAAATAATTTTCTCGACCGTACGAAATGTTTGTTTCTGATCGTTTAGGGATGAACCAAGACGTGCCGGGAGCTCAAAAACAAGCACAGAGGAACGCGATGATCACGAAGAACGGCCTTTTGCGACCGAACAGAAACAGCACTCTGATAACGTCGAAACAAAAATCGAGACCGAGCAAGATCGAATCTACCGAACCTGAGATCGACTTCAGCGACATACCGACGATACAGGGGACTTACACGGCTTCGAAGGTGAACGTCAGCTCCTCGAACAAAACGACCAACTTTAGCCAGGAATCGACGACAGCTGAAACGGTCGCAATGAACAATACCAAAGTATCGCTACCTCAACGACAGACTACGAACGAGCCGAGCACCGTGCCGGAAACCGCTGGAACGACTCAGCGCACCGTTCAAACGACCGACGAAACGAGAGAGAGGACCAATTACACCGTTAAGAATGAGTCGTCCAACGGCGCGGATCACGGATCCACTAAAAAGCTCGTTACGTCTACGGATTCCACGACTCCGATAAGAGACGACGATCTCTTCGAGGATTTCCGCAAGCCCGATCTCGAGACGTCGCCGTGGAGACCCATTATACCTGGATACGGGAACCCCGAGTTGAAACTGTTGCCGGGCGGCGTAGAGAAGACCACGAAAACTGACTACAAAGTGAACCACGGCAATTCTGGAGAGAACACTCCCGGCGCGTCTACGAAAACTCCTGAACACGACGTCCCAAGCCGAGTTGCCGAGTCGTCGACGGCTAGAATCGATATCGCTAAGCCTTTGGAAATGATCGCGCCGTACGTCGACGTGCCTGGGATGAGCACCTTCGACGTCGCGGACGCCGATTTCCCTCGGGACAGAGTCGTTCCTCAGGAAGTGGTGAACTTCCGAGTGAACGGAAAGTTTAAAAACAAGTTGTCGGAGGACGGGCAGATGTTCGCGGAGGCTGTGCCGGTCAGGATACCGGATATAGAAGTCGCTGGTCAACTGCCACCAGAGACGTACGACGTCGAGCTTCGGACACCATCGCTGACGGAGAAGACCGAGTCCTCTTTCGCCAAACCTGACCGACTTACCGACGAAAACGAGACAGGTTGGAGGGTCTCCGATTCGCGAGTGACGTACCCGGTGGCGGACGGTACTGACGAACGAAACGAGAAATTGAACGTTAAGACTCCTGACCCCATCGAGACGAATAAAGAGAAAATGGGTCAGAGCACCGGTATCGAAGACGACGAAGGTTCGGACGGTTTTCTGGCTTCGACCGGCTCGAGCACTCTTAGACAGGAGCCGGTTCAGGGAGATTCGAACGAGGAATCGACGACGAACGTGTCGGGCGTAGGTGTGGCGGAGCCAGTTCCGGACGTGGACGTCGACTTGGAAGCGAGAAATCGTTATTCGGGCATCCAGACCGTGGATAAACGTCGTAACGACGGTTTGCAAGATAGGAAGGTCGACAAAAACGCGCAGGAACCGGTCTACACCAGTTACAAAACGCCGGACTTGAACGGGGCTGGGATCAGGCCGAGCTTGATCGAGAGTTCCGGAACTCTAAAGCCGTTCAGACACACGATACCCGTAGACAAAATCGCGTCCGTCGTCGACGACACCGAGAGCCGAAGGAACGGTTCGTCGAACCAGGAAATGAACGCGGTGACGCACGGTACAACGGGAGGCAAGTTCACCGCGGCTTCGGATGACAAACCGAAAGAAACTTGGACGACGTCGTCAGGGATTCAGAAGGAAATCATTGAATTAAAAACTTTTGACAGAGAAAGTAACGATACCAATGTTGACTTACGTACGAACGGTTCCGCTGCAACTACGAAAGTTGGCGCACACGAATCGGCCGAATCGAGTACCGAGAGTTCAATAGACAACGACAAGTTCTTGAAGTTGAGCACCACGGAGGTTTATTCGGAAACGATACGTCCACTCTACGATATCGCGGACAAACTGATCGCGAAGAACGAAGAAAAGCACAAGGAAGTAGCCCCGGAAAGATCGACGGCCAGTGTTTCGAGAAACTCGACCTTCATCGAGATCGACACTTTGAAACACACGCCCGGGGAAGGGGATTCCGACTCGTCGGAAAGTAACTCGTCGTCGAAACTCGAGAACGATCGGTTTCCCAATGCGACTGCCAATCGATCGTCGAACTCGGTCGAAGCTAAGAAGAAAATTTACAACGATACCCTGAAGGCGTACGTGGTGGAGAATTTGGTCACGCTGGCGCCTGTAAAGAGCAACACGGGCATCGGAAGGCCCGTGAGACCACGGCCGAAGATCGACAGAGAGAAAACGATGAGGACCGACGACGCGTCTGACGATCGCAGCTCCTCGGACGATGCCGTGCTCTTAGAACGATTGTTCGGTGCACAAAGTCGTGACGGAAACACGACAAAGCGCGATTCGTCTGATCGTCCCGAGGGAGACCAAGAGTATTTTCATAACGGCACGGTAGAACAGATCGTAGAAGTGGTGACCTCGACTAGCACCAAGGTATCCTCGAGCATCAAAGGGAGTCCCGTCGTACTGAAATTCATCGTGACCAATTCCACCTCGCTCCCAGTGATACGCACCGAATATCACGAAGAGCAAACAACGACGTATCCCAAGGAGGTATCCGTTAACGAGGAGAATCGATCCTTCAAGGATCAGATCTCTGTGAAGGAAAAGGGTCTGACGCAGACGTTCGACAGAAAGATCTCGACGATCGATGAAAACGAATATCTCTTGGACAGATTGAAGCAATTGGCGGACGTCGGAGTGGAGAACGAGCCTGCCAAGAGCAAGAACGACTCTAGACCTGAGTCGAAACCTCATAAGTCGAACGTCAAGTTGAACACGAAATCGGAGGAGCATCGACCGCTGCCGGACTTCGAGAAGCTGAGAGAGATCGCCGATGTCGCCACGGGGAACGAGACGCTGATGAATTCGAGCGCAGCGTTCACGATGACCCGCGACGGTGTCGAGATATTGACGAAAATTTTAAATAAAATGGAAGACCGAACCGACAAGATGATCTCCACTACCGAAGAGAATTTAGAAACCGGTAATTCTTTCTCCTAATTTTAACATCGACTCATTGACACGCGCGTAAGACATTCTCTAGTCAAATATTTGATCGTTGGATTCGAGTCTGTGTCGTTTGGATGTTGACTAAACGGACACGACGACGATTCACGATTCCTATCAGATACCATACTTTTCGCAGATGATTGTCTCGGCTTCCTTTGCAAAGATGGTAAATGCTTACCCTCCAGCGGTAGATGCAACATGTTGGGTGAATGCCCGAGTTCCGAGGACGAGGCAAATTGTACGTGCGCCGACTTTTTACGAGCTCAGCTCTTGCAAGAAAAGATTTGTGACGGCGTCGCGGACTGTTGGGACTACTCGGACGAAACTGATTGCGGTATATAGAATGATTTTAAATCAAGAATAATTGCACGTTCACGTTGAAAATTCAAAATTCTCTTTTACCGCTGTTGACTAGACTGGTGCGAGGACGGTCAGTTCGTTTGCGGCAACAGTCGATCCTGCGTAGACCAGGACAGAGTTTGCAACGGCTACGCGGACTGTCCCGGGGGAGAGGACGAGAAAAAATGCACCGCGCTGATAGAAGAAGATTCGCTGAATTACGAAGAGAGTAACTTGGACGAGACGGAGAATACGTCTAACGTCACCGTGACCAGAGACGAACGACCGCCGTCCGAAGACCACTTTCCACGAGTGGAATCGACCGCTGATAAGGACGTATTTTACGATCAAGAGGCGGTGGAGTCCTCGATCTCGGAGTCGACCACCTTGCACGCGATCAAAGGTCAAGTTCAATTAGAAAAGATCACGGTTACCAGAGACGAGTCGGTCACTGAAGAAAAAGCGTTGCTCAACGCGACGACCCTCGTCTCTGGACGGGAAATATCGCCGCACGCCAAGGACGCGGTAACTCACGGCAATTCTATCCACGTGAACGCGAAGAATAACGACGAAACGCCGGTGACGAGAAAAGAGATCGACAATTACAACGAGAAGGGTTACTTGAACGTCCGCAAAAATGGCAAATGGGGAAAATTGTGTCTCGGCAGAATGCACGACCTCGCGCAGGAGAGGCAAGCTGCTTGGACCATCGAAGACCTCGGCAGAGCAGTTTGCAAGGCGATTACTTATCAGTGAGTGTTGGAAACGTGCGATTTAAACTTTACTCCGCGACGAAACATTTTCTTACAAGATCTGATGACCATCTTTCAGAGATTACGACACGGTGGAGAAGGTACTGGACGAAAATCCGACGTCCGCGAGATCGTACTATGCCTTGTCGTACAGCGAGAAAGCCCCGGATAAAACGATCCTCACTTTCAAACCGTCCGAATGTCCGAGCGGCGAGATTCTCAGGGTCAAGTGCAAGAACCTTGAGTGCGGAATACGAACTCAGGCACCGTCCCAAGCTAGGTATACTCACTGAACCAGTTTCACATAATTATGCGCCGACCAGATCGTTCGTACGCAACTGTGTGTAGACGCGCTTCGGGACGATGCTCTCTGTCTCGCACACACTGACGGTAATAAACGTTTTGGCCACGGCAGTTTACGGACGAGTAGAATTAGATCTATACGACAACGCTACGATTTATCGAGCCTCGTGCCCGTAACTCGTAACGTAAACTTCATCGAGAAGCTCTTTGTAACGTTTCAGTTTCGTGAAATAATGCTTGAGGCATTGAAACAGATCGTATGTTCGGCGTTATAGAATCGTCGGAGGTGGGAGTTCCTCGGCCGGGAGCTGGCCCTGGCAAGTGGCACTGTACAAGGAAGGTGACTATCAATGCGGGGGTGCTCTGATCAACGATAGATGGATCTTATCCGCGGCACATTGTTTCTACCAGTAAGTGACCCGTAACCACTGCCTGCTCGCTCCGTCAACGACCGATAGTGGGAAAATAATTCGTTACCGTCGATGCTTAATACGTGTTCGAATACTGTCAAACAGTGCTCAGGACGAGTATTGGGTCGCGAGAATCGGCGCGACTCGGAGGGGAAGCTTCCCCAGCCCGTACGAGCAAGTGCTGCGGCTGGATCACATATCGCTGCATCCCGACTACATCGACAATGGATTTATAAACGATATAGCAATGCTCAGGCTCGAGGCTCAGGTCACTTTCAGCGACTACGTACGACCGGTGTGCCTCCCACAGTCTGAACCGAGAAGCGGGACCATGTGCACCGTGACCGGTTGGGGACAATTGTTCGAGATAGGGAGAATATTTCGTAAGTGGTCTCTCGCGATATTTTTAACCGCGCACCGGATTGACGAAAGATTTGTATTACTCAACAGCGGATACCTTGCAAGAGGTGCAACTGCCGGTGATCTCGACGGAGGAGTGTCGTCGGAAAACTTTGTTCCTCCCGCTGTACAGGATTACGTCAGGGATGCTGTGCGCAGGATTGAAGGACGGTGGAAGAGACGCTTGTCTAGGAGACAGCGGCGGACCTCTCGTATGCTCGGGATCTGATAACAAATACACACTTCATGGTGAGCATTACTCGGTGGAAGACGTAGGGGAATCGAGATAATAGATCAAAATCGGTTCACGACGTACACCGCTCGAACACGTTTAATCGCAAACGTCGCTTCTTCAGGTATCACTTCGAACGGTTACGGTTGCGCCAGACCTGGAAGGCCCGGAGTTTACACAAAGGTTCATCATTACCTCCCGTGGATCGAGTACACGATCTCGAACGAAGACGTTCGATCCATCACGTCGACCTGCAAGGGTCATCGGTGTCCACTGGGCGAATGTTTGCCGAAATCGCGTATATGCAACGGATTTTTAGAATGCTCGGACGGTAGCGACGAGCGCAACTGTCCAGCTAATTTTTAACAAAAACAAGACTGACAATATCTGTATTTATTTGTTGGATCGCACGTTCGACGAACAGATTCGTCTTTGCGACGAGCAGATTTAAGGATGTATTGGCTTGGCGAGTCAATCCGAAAAGTTTATGTACCTTAGAAAAACGCATTTCCTATAATTAAAAAGAAATCAAACGTCGGAAGAATAATGCTAATAATAAATAGCTACGTGCTAAAAAGTATAGAAGGAAATATCCAATTAAGTATTGACGCTGACGAAAATTTTTTTTTTTTTTCAAAATNTCCGTATGTTCAACGGTTTGGGAGTTATTGGCCAAAAACGAAAATTTGGAAGAAATTGAAGAGGTACCCCTTGGAAAAATCTCGGAAAAATCGAAAATTTTTTTTTGTTGTTTATTATTAGCAATGTTCTTCCGACGTCTGATTTCTTTTTAAGAAATGCGTTTCTAAAGTGCATAAACTTTTGGGATTGACTGTATAGCCAATATATCCTTAAATCTGAGCGTAGATGTAATCGTTTGTACGTCGTAAATGCAACTATATACGTATGAAGATAATAATAATAATAATGAGTAACCATTAAATTAATAGAGAAGGATGAACAAACTCGTAGGAAGTAGGAAGCATTTTGTGATAAAAGTATAAGATTTTTGGAACGTAATGCGAGAATACGTGTGAACGGTCGAGGGTGTTCCTGAGTCACTGATCAGTCACTCGGGAATACACACGTTGGCGTATTTAGACGAACCTGGCATTTAGATTCTTTCGCAAAATGAATCTCAAGGCCACGTGTGTCGCGCTCGCTGTTTCAGTCTTCGTGCAAGTACGAAGATCTCTGACGCGTGTATATAAAATGTACGTCGTATCCAATCATGTAAAAAGATTCTTTTAATAAACGAGAATGTAAAAAAAAGAAGTGTTTTCAGCCGAGACGTCCCTGAAAAGAAAGACACGTTATACATACATCGGAATTCAAGTAGTATAGTAATAATCTGTTTTATTAGGACGATTGGAAATAGCATTGGAAATCATATTTAGAAATAAATATTAATTATTTTCGACGTAACACTTGTCGATATTGAATCGAAGGCTGTCGGAGATTACTGCGTCGCGGGCAGTACGATCCTTCGAGTAAATTATCTTATCAGTCAAACAAACATCGTTTCGTAATGATCAAACACGTTTAGTACCATACATGTAAACGATAGAAGAGTCGCAATTCTTCAAAATTTCTCTTGGCCACTCTCGCACCCTCTCTCCCTCGTAAAATGGATCAAACCTGCTAGAGTCACCGTCATAGTCTAATTATGATCTCGTCGTTCTAGCTCGTGCCTCTAGGTAGTTTTAACATTAGATTATATCTACGATTAGCACAATATACCGAATGGTAAGAATCACAATATAATTTACGTCACGTTCAAACAGCTCGCTGACAGAGTTCAATATATCGAACGTTTCATATTTCATTTATCATGTTGCACGATCAACACGCCGAACAAGACCGGCCGGATCGTCAAGACTTGTGCACAACCATGTTTTTGATCATTTTTCTATTTACGCGTATCATCCTCGAACGCACGCGGGCAAACGATCAAACGTAAAATGAATTCAATAATTCTATCTACGAACACTCGTAAATTCGGAAGACTCGCGAACCGAAAGATCGAGTTCCAAATTCATCGTACAAGGGAGATATCGAAACCGAACGTTTTGATCTGAAGCAATCCATCCTACGCGATAGTATCGATGAAACGTGGCAAATATAAAACGAGACTGCTGCGGAAGTCCAAGGGTAAAACGTATCCGACTATTGATATGACGTCCCTAAACGGCTCGTAAATCCTTCCCTACTCGTACTTTACCAACGAGATGCGTAGACACGCGCTCGTTCTTCCTCCGTCGAAGACATCGAGTGGCAATTCCATGGCCGACTGACAAACTCTCACGTGAACCGATCGGTGTGGACAAAAGTTCGATCGCGATAAAAAACTGGTGTAAATGTATAAAAGGTCCGATTTAAGAGTGGAGAAACTTTTGTCCATACCCGTAGATTTTTTTACCCAAGCAGCTACGGTCTCCTTGTCTCAGCACCAACCGTGCGTAATAGCGTTTTCGTGAAGAACGTCGATTCCATTTATTTCCTCTCGCTACCTGCCCGACTCGTACGAGTCGCAATCGCTAGGGATCTAATCGGTACTATATTACAAAATTTCGGATCACAAATGGTTTTACGTATAAACTGCGTCAAGGCTCGACTCAATCAAACTCTATTTACGTTTCAGGTGGAATCGACGGCCTCCACGAAACGCGCGAATACATTTTACAACGAAACAGGGGCAGCAAATGTTGAAACGTTCAATCGATTCATCTAATTCAATTCTATGCTCTCGAAAGTGTACTAGCTCAGCTCACCGACTTTCTCCTAGCTCCTAAAGTTAATTAAAGAAGCAATAAATAATAAATCGACGAATTCTCAAAAGATTAATACCTCTAATCAGCTGAACTCTTAAACAGACTCTTTAACTCGGGCTACGAGGAGTTTGTCTCTTTAGCCCAACGAGTCAACAGCGATCGTACTGAGTCCTTTCGCGCCGATGGTCGTCTTGAATTGCTCCGGTATTGGGTACTCGGACTGTAACGATACGAACAACAAATCGATTCGATTAACGATGAATAGACTTGATTACGCAGCGAAATGTATATTTAATGACTCACGTAATCGCCGTTTCCCTTAGGTACCATAACGTTCATCTCGCTTGATTTGCTGCTGATGAACTCGACGTTCAACGATTCCGGGCTCAAGTACGCCTGGCAGCCATCCGTCTTGTCAATAGAGATGGTGGGGACCTTTCCTAGCACCTGGAATCAAAAGAATGGATATTTCGAAACGACACAAAGACAAAGAGTGATTGAATCTTTTGAACGGTACTATACACCGTTTACGAGAAACGCTGACAATCGCGCATCTGTTCGACCTCCACACTTCACGCAGTACACGTATTAACTGATAACCGTAAATAAGAATGAATGATGACATCTTGAAACCTACAGTTGAATTTTGATGATAAGCTGGGCACGACGCTTTCTAAAATGCACTGGCAATTCGGTACGATCCTTTTAGTTTATGTTCACCGTGGCAATTGATGAGCGGGACCGAACGATCGAACCGAGTAATGCTGTTTTATTAACGAAACGTTTGACGCGCGTAGGCGGAAATCTTGAACCCGTGCAAATGATCTGCGAAACCGATTGGAAAGAATGCCCGAGAGCAATCGCAAATTACGTTTGGAGCGAGATCGTGACCGACGTTCTCGACTGTTTGAGGAACGAGAGCATAGTCTGGCGGGTACAGAGAGTTATTATTTTTGAATTGCAATGAATGTCGAAATTACAAGTCTATGAATACATGAACATAGCGGTCAGGTAAGTCCTTGACACTGATAAGACTTTTTGCATCTGAACGCTATGTTCAAAATTTGCCAAACAGAGGGCAATTGGTACTCTGTAGTCGCGTTGATGACCGTTTAAAGATGCTGGCCGTGTTGTCCGTGTCCATTGTGTTACTACGAGCGATATATTCGAAACTGAAACGCGATGAAGCGGCTGACGAAAAAGATATCGTCAACAGAATTGGATACAAGGTGGAGGATCTCGAATTGAAAGTCAACATAATGACCTACAAGCTTCAGTATGGCAATTGGCCGTCGCCTCATCAAGTTCAGAAGTCGAATTTCCGAAAGAATCTACGAAATCTCAGACTGACTTTGTCCAATCCCAGCGATCGTAGCAACTGGATAAAGCACGTGTTGTTAAGGTACTGACACGACGACCGCAATGTTGAAATCACTTTTCATTCTTCTTGGTTCACTATGATCGCAGTCCCAGAGAAAACCTGCAGGGCCCGTACCCGAGTTACTGTCCCTCGGAACATCGTATAACGGAGTTGTTCGCCGCGAAGAAAAGAAGCGTGTACCCTTATCTTCGACAAGAGAATTTACCAGTGGATCACAGCAGCAAATCTTCCAAGAGCAACAGCGACAAATCCTTCGAGTACGATCGCACGCTGTGCACGTCGTCGACGTACTGACGTGAGTCGATCTCGCTTTCAGGTTGACTTCGATCTTCAAAAACCTGACGGATCGTAAACGTCGCGAGACGTCCATACACGAGAATCTCGAAACGCAGTATCGAAACGCGATATCACTTCCCGTATTCTCAAAGAGGAGGGCCTGCAGATGCACGCGGAAAGCGAGGAAGCACTTGGAGAACTTCGAAGCGAGGAACGTGACGCCCATTTGCAACAAGTTCACGAGGACCATGGACGATTGCAAACGATATCTGAAGCAATTGTACGACAGTAACAAGAACCTTGGACTGATCTGCAGCTCGTCGGAATTCAGTAACGGATCATCGATCAAGAACTTTTGGTCGGACACTCAGGTAACCAGACGGAAACTCGTGACGAGACCGTTGACAATCCATTCGACCCCGTTCCAGCAGCAGAGGTACGACAGACGAAGGAATCTACTCGACTTGACCGAAGAATTCCGCAAAGACAAGGAGAATGAATCGGGACAAGGGGAATGTCCGGAGGACAAGAACTTGAGGAACACGGACCGAACCAAGGACGACTACTTGGAGTTGTTGAACGCGATATACCCGATTCTGCGACTGGTCGACGAACGTTTGTTACCGTCCAATATGAATATCAAATTTTATTCCGACATGTTCGCCAAGCGGTCGCCTTCGAGCTCTTTGACTCGTGCGTGGTACGATCGGAAGAAGTACGTGGAAACGTCCCAGGAAGCTCTGTACCAGGTGATCAAAAAATTGGAAAGTTTGCATAATGTCGTACGTACGTACGAGTTGGATAACGTCGGAGCAAGGGCGCCGGGAAGAGAGATAGAACGGAGCAACAGATTCAGTAGCGTTTGCCAAAACAAATTTGTCTCGGTTACTGCGGAGAATGATGGTTGGAGTAAAAATAGGAAAAAGGAGTCTAAGGAACGATCGAGTTCGATCAGCTCCGAGCAGTACGAGAGCGACGATACAGGTAGAAGCTCGATAGTGTCCGTTCAAAATTATACCAATACATTCAACACGTATGCTTATTGTTCGCTGATCGGAAACACCGAGCCGAGGACGTTCTCGTCCTCGAAGGATCACGGATTGGGAATGATGAGGAACGATCAGGCAATATATTCCACCAACGTGAAATACGGAAAGGTACCCGAAAGGGCGTACTATACCATCTCGTCGGACTCCTCGGCGGAAAAAAATGTTACAAAGCGAAGAGTATCGGGAAGCTTGGCGTCGTCACCGGTCGTAAACGTCGACGACGATCGAACCGAGTCGTTCGGTGTCGCTGAACGATATCCGGTTCCGATGGAGACCGACGAGGACGTGATAGTATCACCGACTTCGAGTCGCACGGAAATGTCCAAGGACAGCGAATTAGAGGACAAGCCAACCGCGGTGTTGCTCCAAGAAGCGTTGCAATTTAAGAAAGCGTTATTAACGCGCGTCGAGTTGGAGAAAATATGCTTCGTAGAGGACGAGAAAGGAGAGGCAACCGATCGAACTACGCCGGATCACGGCAAGTGTTTCTACGTCAACGACGATCTGCGACCCCATTTGGACATAATTTCGGAGGAGCAGTCGGTCAGCAGTTGGACGGAAAAGACCAGCAGGACTTGTATGTTTTTCAATTTGAAGCAGGACGAGCGGTTGAACGGCGATACATCGAATTTCACTGGGCAGAACGATATCAGGGATTCGAACGGGAACGCGCATAAGAAACACTTGGACTCGGTGCACAATTTCGACTCAGCCTCCGAGTACTTTAGTTTGAGCAATATAATTCGAGATGGAAATGAAATGGATCGTGATCGCTTCGAGGAGAATACACCTCTGATCAGTAGTTTACAAGTGAAATATTTGAACGATGCTCCGAACGAGTCCGACGAGAAACTTGTCAAGAACGCGACGGATATGAACGAGCAAGAAATAGGTTTCGATTACACGCAGGAGAAAGAGAGTTTCCGAGAGCATTTTACACGTATGAACAGCCTAAACGAGTTCATAAATCGGAACGTCAACAGTGTGGAACTGTTTTCTCAAGATTTGGACGATGCACGTACAGAGGAGAACATCGGGAATTTGGATCAGGACACGGGTTTCAACTTTTTCAGTTCCGAGTCGCTGAAACGATACGCGAATGTCACGTGTACCGCGAGTCTATCGAACGGAAACGGTGACCAGGAACTGTCTCCTCACAGCCCGAATTTGACTTTAAAAAGGAACCCCGGCGCGTGTTCGCTGATTGAACAACCGTTGATGCGCACAAACGAGAGACCGGGGATGATTCTGACCGAGGATCCGACGTACGAATTGTTAGCCTCCGACAGTAAAGGAACTTGGTTGGAAACGAGTTTGATGCAGGAATCGTTGACGTCCAGCATAAATCAATCGAACGACTCTAACGTTCCGGAACCGTCGTCGGTGACGGCACTGATCGACAAATCGTTGGAAGAAGAGAAATTAAATATAGACTGGTTGAACGACGACAATGGCTTTAGCGACGACTGCGACGATCATCGGGACATAAAGACCTACTCCGCGAATACCATCGTTCTTCAAAAGTGCGATGCAAGGAACGTCGGCAGTTGTAAAGAGCGTGATGCGCTTCGAAATGGAAAAAGTAGTTCGGTCACGCGAGACTCATTTACCGAGTTCAACAGGGGAGAATTGATCGACGAGGCGGACTTGTACAAATCTTACTCGAACCTCGTGTCTGCGCACAGTAGCATGTATTTCACGGACGAAGGACCGGCTTCTACTACGAAATTAAACGATGCGCGTCCGAAAGCTCTTGAAGAGCGGTTGCGATCGAATTTGTACAAGGAGCAAAACACATTGGAAATTGGAGATATTGGAAATCCCGAAGCTCTGTCTACTTGCACGTCGAATGAAAATAAATATATCGACGAATCTTGTGAGGAATCGAAACGATCACAGAAAATTTCTACGGACAAGCTGGACAAACTACCGCCTGACGAACCGACAGTTTCCAAAGAAGAGACCAAGTCTCTCGTTGCTCGTAACCATATCGGCGACCATGATTTACTACCTGCGGACGTTGCATCTGATAGAAGGCCATTCGTTTCACCGAGAAATGAAGAATTAAACATGGAACGACACGTTGATTTATCAGAAATGAAGGACGAGAGAACGAACTCGACCGTGAAATCGTCGAGTCACGAAAGTTGCCCTTGGAAATTGAAACGACCAAGTGGTCTACGAAACGTGAAGGGCTTAAAATCCGATTTGTTAAACACTGTTGAAGCTGAATCGGAAGACAGTGCGAATACGGTGCACACGAAGCTAAGAAATTTGTCCGCGGAACCGAGACGACGTACTACCGACGATAATATTAAATTGGATAGAAAAAGATCCCGATCTCAAGTGAATTTTCGAATCGACGAACCGTCGGAAGACGGGAATTCGAAATTACAGCGGTCGTCGCTCGCTGCGAATCCGAACGCTGAGCCAAAATTAACGGGCCAGTTGAAATCTTTATCACCCACCCCGAGAACATGTTCGAAATCTTGTATACCGATTCTGAAAAGCCGATTGGAAGCAGCTCGAAAGGCTGAGAACGAATCACGGCCAAAGAGTCCGCTTAGAGGACCATTGACCATGACCATGTTCTACACGGACAGCGTATGCGAGACAAATCAGGATGTGTCGGACGAAATTCAGGTGGAGGGTAATCCGGTTGACAAAATGCGTAACGTACAAAGAACGAGCGAAAGCGGTAACCATAAGCAAGAATCGACGAGAGCGTCGCGCATTGAACGAGATACGAGTAAAACTATGGACGGTGTCGCTCCTCAAGAGCAGATGGTGATATACGTAAACATATTCACAAAATATGACCACAATGCGACGAGAATAATAGATCCGAATAAGTTTTTGGAATACATGAAGAACAAAAAGTCAAGTACAGAAAAATTGGACGGAAATCAGAACGGTAAAAAGGACGTAGAATTTCGAAATGCTTTCGCGACGAGTGAGGAGAACGTGACGCAGAAAATTGTTACCGTCGTTTCCTCCGTTATAGATGGCAATGAATTAGATCAAACGACGACTAACGTGTCCGAATCAAAAACCCAGAACATCTCGTCGTCTAACGTTTTGTTAAATGGTAAATTAAAAAATTTATGTTTCCTGTCGGTCGAACAAAGGGAAATCGACGTGACCGCTAAGCCTTCCGTCATGGACACGAGTACGTCCATATCGGACTTAGAAAATGTTTCGGGGACAGCGAGAAACAAATTCCAAATATGCGGAACGCCTAAAGAGCTGAACAACGAGGAATACATAGCGTTACTCGAAATTCTACATCAGGAATCGAACTCGGTGCACCTACAGGAGTTGCAAAACGTCTGTACCAAACTCTCCTCCGCTCGAACCAAAATTTAACGGATACAAATAACGTCGTTTCTCTACGCTTGATGAAATTTGCGATTGATAATCGTCTATAATATATTCTTTTATAATATTGGACTTTTTATTTTCTAGTACAGGACACGATGCTCCGCGTAATATGCTATGTATATATTGTGTACTCGTACTTGCTTTGGAGGAAATATATATTTTTTACACGATTCATTGTTGAGTTTCTAATCTCCGATGAGAGTAAACGTAACTTACCTGCATTTGCACGCTTTGACAGTTGACAAACTCGATGCTGGACACGACGGAGTCGAAGACAATGGATGATTTGCGGCACGAATCCATAACGATGGAATTGACTTTGCCTTTCACGACCAAGGTACTCTCCTGACATCGAAACATGTAGATGACGTTGTTCATCTCCACGTTGTCAATGACGAGATCTTTGTTACCTTGATGATACTCCTATAACGTAAAAGATGAACGTGCCACAAGTCAAACGCAGTTGTAACGATTGAGAATTCAGAAGCTCGTCAGTACTCACCACAAGCCACTTCTTTCCATCTCTCGTGAATACAGGAGGTTTCGTGATCGGTGCATTCGCTGGCGGCACTGCTTTTGTTGGCAGAGCACTGTCGACGAACGGGGCTTTAAATGGTGCCGGTCCAGTTCTCAGCGACGGATTCTTGTGCGTCTGCATGTCCGAAGTGACTTTCTTCAAGTCTGCAAAGTTGCAATTAATTTTAGACCAACGATCACTCGACGAAACGAATATTCTCCAACGGAACTATAGTCACTCTTTGTAATTGCCTCTCCCTGGTTGATTTCGGCGAAAAGAGCGCTTCTGTCGTCACCGATTCCCACCGGTGCCACGTCCCCCATGGGCATACATGGAGGAGGTGGTGGTGGTATGCCCATTGGTGCGGAGCCAGTTTTTGCCCACACCAGACCTGTCGTGTGATGTTGGCGCACATACTGTTGAAGATCACTGAGCGTCTGTACCCAGGCCTTGCACCATTCGGCGTGCACTTTATCTCTGGAAACAGAAACGTCCGCGTGAATTCTGGAGGAGCAATTCGTTTTTAAGAAGCGAATCACGTATCGCGGACAAGGATATTGAATTTATCGTCTGTAGACTTACTTTTCCTTCCACTCCTTCAACACACGATTGGTATAGAACTGTCCGGCATCGTTCATTTCTTTGACGTAAGGAGCCGGAGTAGGTGACACTGCCACCCATCCTAAAGCCGGAATACTTTCACTGATGGCCGACAAGTGATTGAAGAACGGAGATGCTCTATTCTTCTCTCGGAACTCTTGAATCTGTTGGATTTGAGTAGACGTAGGAGCCAGCAGAGAGATCTGCTCCGATTGGCTCGCCGGGGCTGCCCGACTCGCAGCGGTCCGAATAAATTCGAACTGAATTCTATACAAAAGGTGATAGCGCTCGTTAGGTCGGGTGAATATAGATCGACGATTCGATATCGGATGGTCGACGGTAAAACGCTTACTGAAACGCTTTCTCCACGAGCTTGCTGTGTGAAGCTACGTCACCGCCGATCTTCTGACTCTGCTGCAAATACTCTTTTACCGGACCATGTAGGAGGTCTTCGTAGCCCGCGACGGACATGCTGACGATCTTGTGTGACGTTGTTCTATCTGACGAACGAGGAGGCGAGGCGGATTGTCCTGGTGCGCTGTTGGCTATTGACTGAGACCTTTTCGGCGATGGTGTGTTCGTTTGAACAGCAGAATCCTGAGTTTCAGTCACAGGTTGGATTCTTACTTTCTCCAATCTCTTTGTAACGTTTTCTAATCTATTTACCAGCTCTTCCAAATGTTCCTCCTTATCGTTCGCTTCGCAACCTTTAATTAAAATACATTTTTCATGAGCTGGAGATGCTCTGATGCACTAGTTGCGAAAGAGATGAGATACTTCAATTTCCCCGCTCCTTAAAAAATAACCGACTCACGCTACAACTGAAAACGCGTGCAAAATTATACAATTCCAACAATGAGAATTGCTCAAAACGAGAGGATTTCTACTGGCGATCGTAGCGTAAAGGTCGTTACATTTGGAGCAGACGTATTCCAGAAGATGCGCATTTAATTCGAGTAAATTAAATATAGAGTGAACGTATAGATAGTAAAATCAACATCCACAGCCACTAGATCATCGTGTTGCAAGTAACATGTTGGAAATAAATTTACGTGTGTCCAAGATCACGTTACCACGGGTCAATTATCAATCCACGGCACACTAATTTCCAAGTCGTACTCGTTTGCTCGACAAAAGAACTATGCCCACGCAGTTTTCACGGGCGAGATCCTCTGGCCTTTTCGGAAACGCTTCGGGAACTAAACCACGGTTCTAATGATACTCAACGCGAGCGTGTGCCGCGACCTATTCTTGGGAAATCTGCGAAAATTGAATCGCGCGTGGGCAGACGCTACTTTGTATAAAAGATTCCGCGCGTTCGTCAAGAGGCGTCTCTCGTTAATTAAAAATTCTTGGCGTACTCGCAGGTGTGTGTGTGTGATGTAAACGACGAATACACATAATATAAAGTAGAACAATACGGTTTTCGATCTACGAGCTCCGCCGCATAAATTGAGAGATATGCATACAGATGTTTCTAATTTTAAAGAAGACGAGAACCCGTTGTAACGTCTATTTTTAACTGTTCCAATTGCTCCGCGGCTTGATTCTTTTTTAAAAAAGGCAACTGGAAATATTAAACAGCAGAAGGTAAATGGTTCCGAGTGTGAGTACGCGGAACAGGACGCAAGACATTCTGTCGGACGACGTGACCACGAAGGAAACGACGCAAGTCTTGGAGCCGTCGTGGTTTTTTGTCACGACTCGAAAACCGACGATTCTGTTGCGGAACGACTAACGTGATAATAATACACTCGTTACGTGTACCTCAACTACACGTACGTTTAAGAACGAATGAAAGGAACCTTTAATAAATTGTTGGAAAGACGATGGTCCGAGGGTACTCGGTTCAAGTGCAAAGAAATATATCGGGAACTGTGAGCAAAGTTATAAAGATCGATGAATTGGAACTGTACGATAGATTATTCTGAACGCGATTCGAACGAGGAGTTCGCACGACCTACTTTGCCCAGACACCATCTCAAACAATCTCTCAAAGTGGTTTCCACTCGTTCTGAAACGCAATCAATAAATTCCACTAACTCTGTCTGATACAGTCGACTCGATAGAGAGAGAGACAGAGACAAGTTCGAACGGAGCGGAAAATCATATGAAAGAGTAAATGTAGGATAAACCCTGACCGGTGTGCACCACTGGTCCCAGTGGATCGAACCGCACTTTGTGTTCCTGTGCGTTTTGCGCGGCGTGCAACAGATCGGAGAAAAATCTGTGACGCCTCAAAGCTAGCTCGTCGCGTGCAACCGGGGTCGCAGGTGGTTCTTGCATTCCGCTGCATTCTTCCGAGTCGTGCTGGCCATCGTCGTCTTCTTCCGAAAGTCAACAACAAATTTTTCAGCAAATCGCACACAATACTCGGACGTGTAAAATATATCGCTCAACGAAGATGTACCTTGCGGTGGATTTTTATTCACGTCGTTGGGACAGGCTTCGAAGACGGAATCGTCGCCTTCCTCGTCCAGCGTGTCATCGACCGTTCTCTCGATGTACCCGAAAGAGTCGTAAAGATTGGTTCTGGCGGTGCCAGTAACCCCGGAATTCAGTATCGTCCCCAGCATACCACCCCCGCCGCCCCCCTCGTCGTTTCCGTTTACAGTCTCGCTTCCGTCCGCCTCTTCACCTATCGCGTCTTTGACTCCTTTCGCCTCGTCCCCCGTTTCCCCGTTCTTCGTTCGATCGCTTCCATCGTCGACATCGGTGTCATCGTCGTCCTCCGCCTGGTCCCTGTTGGTTCTCGACGATCGGGAATCGTCGTTGAACTCGTCGCGCTTGCCAGAAGGCAACGGACTCTTGACGGTCAAATCGTCGATCACTTCCGGGGTGCCTTTGTCCATCGGCGGCGACGCTTTCTCGAATCTCGACACGTCGCCGTTCGGCTTTTCTTCCCGGTTCACCGGCCCGTTTTCCCCGACTTTCGAGGGATCGACGTCTACCTGCTGCGAGTCGACGACTCTCTGGCTTTGTTTCGCCGCCGGTTTCGTCACCTCCGGCTTCTCCTTCTTCGAGCTCTTGTTGCACACGCAGCATTTAAACATGGTCGATATCGATTAAAGATTCTCGTCGTATCAGCGATAAACGCTCGACCGAGCCTTCGTTCGGTGCTTTTTGAATTGATAGGCCGTTGTATGCGCGAACGCACTTGTATGTCGCGCGGCTTTTTTTCACCCGTTATCGTTCTCTGTCGGTGGCAGACAGACACGAGTTCTCGATTCGCTTCAACGAATCGATCTGAATGCCACGGCGATATCGATCTCGTTTGGTGCGTATACCGACGATGGAAGAGTACATACAGTTTCAGATGAAACGTGTATGAAACAGGGATTGTAACAATGTAAAAGATTCAAAATTCTTGTCGTATCGTTTCGTTTGAACGCCGCAATTTAATAGTAACAGTCGTAAATATAAAATGGACGCGAAGCGTATTTCAATATGAAGAATACTTGGATAAGCTACGTTCGACTGACCCGTCTCGGACGAATGTATAATCGGGTGTATGTAATGTAATATTTTAATTCGACCGCGTGCGTTCCGCTATTCTTTCTCAGACTGGGAAACTAGGCTACCGAATATTTCACTTCAACCGGATTTCCCACGGGAATCACGCACTACAAACTGTTTGGTATAAATTCCATTTGCTCACAGCCTTTGCTATGCGTTCACGGTTTATACCCGTCAACGTCGGGAACCAACAATTAAGTGCGCAGATCAGCGAAACAATAAAATCATTAATTAACGCCTATCGTTTCCTTTCTCCACGCGAGCTAAGATAAATATATAATTGAACATATGTTAACAGCCAACGTATGTTGAAGATATAACGTATATTGCTCGTTGTAACAAACGTATAGAATATTTGTACGTGAAATTACTTCAACTGCCTCAACGATTCAAAGCTTCTGGCAAGCAACAATATTTATAAACACTTTGATAACAATACCTTCTAGAGAACGTGATCACGACACTTGCTAGAAATCGTTGCTCAGCGAAATCTATGTATGACATATATTTTCCCCGCGAAATGGCGCGATGATCGATTCCAACAACGCCCAAGTTTACGTTTTCAAGATTATTCAAGAACGACGCGTGTCCACGAAACGTGTTCGAAATTTAGAGGGACGACTCGAAAATGTTTTAGGTCGTTTTCACCTTGCGACAGCCTCCCGGTTATAGAGAACACGAAGAAGAAACCGAGTCTTGCGTCGGAAAGAGAAGGCACGCGTTTTCCGACGACAGTCGTGCATCGCACATCCTCCCGATGTCTACCGTGTCCGTGTTTCTCATAATCACGGTAATCAGAATGAAACGAGTTTCGTCCACCCGATGATTCGTAGGTCAACGAATGATGACGCATGTAAATGATATCGTCACGAGCACATGTCGTTTCAGTGCACGCAAACGGCACGACGAACAGGATTACGTACAAACAAACGCCAGAACGTTTCCACGTACATTTCCACGTCTGCGATGAATCACTTTTACGAGCCCCGTTACGCACCAAGTAATAAATAAAATATCGGAAATTGTTACACGGCTAATCTTGGACTCGGGACCGTGGTCAACGTGCGTCTATATTTCGCACGGTTTCAACTCGGTGAATTATCGGTACTCGGTTTTGTCAACAAAAAGAAGTAGGTTCTTTGTACGCCACCCAAATACTAATTGACGAACCGCCTGGACGCTTGAGATTCTCAGAATGCTACTGGCACCGGTCGAAAGAGGTAACCTCGAATGTACAGCGTTCGCTGCGTGTGAAACAGTGAGATTAATTCAAGGAATCCGTAAGGGTGGAGTATCTACCCTCAAAAACACTCTACTTTGGAAGCACCCGGCGCAATACATACTCCGCTACTTGGGGTTTCGACCGGCACTCAGCGGTGCTGCCGCAGGGCGGTCGAGACCCGAAATTGTTGCAGCTTCCTTAGGCACAAAGAGCCACGTGCACCGGGGGAACTTTCGAAAAGACCCGGTTTCTATTAGAAATCGCCACAAAACATGTCAATGACGGGGGACACAATGAACGATTTGTCCAGAACGAGTTTCTGATCACGACAACGCGATTTCCGCTAGCTACGAATCGTTCCAACACGCTGCAACGTCTTTCTATTAATTGTTACTGAACCATCCGCAACGCACGAATAACAATTTAAGTTCTTAACGTTTTGTTACATCGAGAATGACATATATAACCAAACAATTATGCATTACGAACGGTTCCCAGTATGCTCCTAAACGTGTTCTACACATTATCGAAAAGAATTGTGTGCAGGAAAGTACCTACTGATAGACACTATCGATATCTAACAAAGTAAATAAATATATGGTTATCAGAAAGAATATGAGGTCGTGTTCGATTGTGAAGTACGATATGAAATTAGGTATATCCGAGTATTTAAAAAAAGACTAAGAACGGAAAAGTCCTGGCGTACGTGCCAGATTAAAAATCCTAATTCTTCGGACGATCGTACGATATCTTCGTTGAACAATGCGATATCGTGTCGTGTCAGTAAAAAACGAGAAGTCGACTTGTACTTACGATTTTTCCATGTGTCTAGAACCTTTTTAAACACACCAGGTACCATTCGCGAATCGTCCTCAGTCTCGTTGTTAATATCTGGCATGTTTAAAGTATTTTCTCCCGACTTGTACTTGGTACAAACGTAAAAACTGACGTGCTCGATACGTAACCGATGAACGATGATGACTGACTCACATCGTCAGCTTTCACGATGGAATTTTAATCTCGCGTCAGAATCACAGGACCGTATCCACGTGACCAATTTAAAACCTAACGTAAAATCTGGGAAACGGGCCTTTTCACAAATCAACTTCCGAAATATTTAAATAAAACGTACGGAAAGCGATCTCGATGCAAAGTCGATAAACTCGTGTGTTGACCCATCATTTTGTTAAATTCGATCAGTTTCTGCGTCGAACGTATAATCGAATAAGTATAACTTACTTGACTACTAGACAGAGTCTACGTACTTATAACAAATCATGACTGCATACAATAGTATTCCCAATTTGTAATTCCACGCATGGTTTTAGTTCGGACATTTAGATTGTCATTTTGAGAAGGAGAATGACTTATTCAATAAACGCTGCACCACTTCTCGTAATCGTAAAGCATTGAAACGTGTTGCCAGGTGTCAAATGTCAGGTGCAGCAAAGTGTGAGTCACGATCGTAACACAGCAGGAGGTATACAGAAGCATAACCGTGTTCCTAACCAAACCGAATGCACCTTGGCATGATTTCTCGATGAAATCGCAATTGCAAATGTTGCGATCGGTTATTAAACGTTCAATAAACTCTATCTACGCATGCACATGTATGCGCATTATATTTATACGAATGATATTACGGTATGAACACTGCGGAAACCCGTAAATAGCCAAATGTTTCCAGCAGAGTTCCTACAGTGCCTAGTGGCTGTGGCGTATACTAATGAGAAATACTGGAAAATTGACGCAGATTTACTTACGAATACGAATATGAAGCCTTATTGAAGCTCGGTAACATGCACTGTCATTTGATGACAATCGACTTGACAACACACAACAAACACGATACACAAGTGACGAGACATCAGTCTGACATTTCTACGTACACCGACAACTGGGGCGTTTGCCGGATACCGGAAGTACTACCCTTGCTATTGTGCGAGTTTCGAGCTACATATTGCACATGCGCTTGTACGTTCAAACTCGTGGCGTATCCGTAAAATCAGAAAAAAATATATTTCAGATTTCGCGCCATCGTTCCGCAATTATAACTGCGATACGTTATTAATAAGAATGAAAGAATCGGATACAAAATAAGCATTCCGAATTATTATTGTACTACATACGATGCGCTTTAAATTAGACGAAATGTTCGCAAAGGCAAAGAAATACTAGTGTAAGAGTACTAGTTGGAATACTTACGTGAAATAAACGCATCGCGAACAAGTGCCTATATACCGGCTGTAGTTACACGAGAGTACAGGGATTTCATTGAACGCCGGTATGTCACGGCCATGGATTGCTGAAATTTAAAATGACACCATCCTCAGCTCTACGATTCTTTGGAGAATAAAATATATTATGGCACACGAATAGTGTATTGACGTGCAAATTTTGTAATTGAAACTTGAAACCTGAACTTCACTGTTCCTCAACGCACGGCACGATGATCTATTTTACTACTGCCATCTGGATTTGATTCGGTTCCTCGAAAAAAGTGACCACTATCGTTCGATGAGTCACAATTTTAGCTAAATTTTTAACAGTAATTATTATCATGCGGTATAAAGTTTCGTAATAATTTGACACGTCGACCTAATTTCAAAACACGATCATTGGCACTGGGAATTTACGTATTCATTTAAAAAAGTGATTTTTCATTCAACTGTCTAACTGCAATCGTGTTCTACATTACAACGTCTGCATTATGAAGTAATCAAGGTCATTAACAAACGATAAAATAAAATACGGGACATCGTATGACCGTCGAAATGAACACAAAATTTACATTTATTCAGCCTGTGGACATTCTGAGAAGCATACCCCAGTATCATATATTTCTAGAGGCATGCTTGGCTCTTTGGTTCGTTTGGTTTATTGGTAGAAAGTATTTTGGCAATCATAGAAAGATACCATCCGAAGAAGAAGTCGAGAGGAAGCTCGCAGAATGGAGACCCGAACCGCTTATAAATAATCCACAGACGAATCACCCGTCTTTAAACCCAAGATCTGTCACATCGAGAGCTGGGAAGAGAATAGTGGTAGATGGAAAGGATTGTTTGAACTTAGGTACGCACAATTACCTAGGTTTAACAGAAAACAGTGAAATAGAGAGAAATGCGATAGCAGCGGTGAGAAAATACGGAGTTGGCTCTTGTGGCCCACGTGGATTCTATGGTACCGTCGACGTTCATCTTGAACTGGAAGAACGCTTAGCAGATTATACAGATACAGAAGAAGCAGTCGTATATTCGTACGGATTCAGCACTATTGCATCTGCGATTGCAGCCTACTGCAAACGTAAAGATCTTATATTCGTAGATGAAAACGTGAATTTTGCTATACAAAAAGGACTGGACGCGACCAAGGCTAACATCAACTACTTTAAGCATAACGATGTGAACGATCTCTCTGATTTATTAAAGAAACAAGCAGAGCTTGACGAAAGAAATCCTAAGAGGGCAGCTAGAACTAAACGTTTCTTAATAGTAGAGGGCATTTATATGAACACTGGATGCATCTGTCCGTTGCCAGAATTGGTTGCACTTTGCAGAAAATATAAACTAAGAATATTTGTCGACGAATCGATATCGTTCGGAACTCTTGGTGAACATGGAAAAGGTGTTACTGAACACTTCGGAGTTCCCAGACACGAAATTGACATGATCATGGGTAAACCATTTCGTTTACGTCAATAATAAACTCTTTTTATTATTATACATTGGCATGTTGTACTTTGCAGGATCTCTAGATTGGGCAATAGGATCTATCGGTGGTTTTTGCGTGGGTACGTCGTTCGTTATTGAACACCAACGTCTGTCTGGACTCGGTTATTGTTTCTCCGCATCTTTACCACCACTTTTAACAGCTGCAGCTATCACTTCCTTAGAGATCATGAAAAATAATCCTGAGATATTTAAGTCGTTGAAAGACAATTGCCTAGCCATGAACGATGGACTTCGGAAGATTCATTGCCTGGAGTGTTCGAGTTTTCCAGAATCCCCAGTGAAACACGTGTACTTGAAGAATAGAATGAATCGTGCCACGGAACAAGAGCTGCTTTCCAGTATCTCTGACAGATGTATTGAAAATAATTTAGCAGTCATAACTCCGGTCTACTTGGAAGTAGAAAAAAACTTACCCAGGCCTAGCCTCAGACTTTGCATTTCTGCGGTTCTCGACAAAGACGACATCGATTTTGCATTGAACGTGTTAAAAAACTGCGCTGAACAAGTCTTGTCAGCACGGATCGAAATGAATCAAGAGATTTTCAAGTAGTACTTTCAGATCGAGACAGACACACTTTGTATTTAATTTTCGTTCACTAGTCAATGTATAATTATTTATATATTGTCTGGTTAAACAGAGATCAAACTTCGATCATCAAAGCAAAGTATTTTGTTGCCTATGTAGAGATTATATTTTACTTGATGCCATGCCATTGTGATAATCAACTGTTTACACATGTCAGAGATCGTCTTAGAAACACTTGTTGCATTTACGATACAAAGTTTTATTATATTTATTGCATTTATTAAGAATAAGATGTAAAATGTATACCGCAAAATGTGCTTGGGAAGCATATGTTTTAAATAAATTGTACATGTCCCGATTTAAAAAATTAATAAATTATTTTTGAACTGTTCACTTCCAAGTATTTTCATTTATCCTCTCACAACTAATTAATAAAATGAATAGTTTTAAATATTTTCGCGGCTGGACGTTTATATCTCTGAAGCACATCCGCTTTATTCGTATAATAGAATTTAAATATGGCGGAACTTCCTCCTTCTTCTACACACTGTACCCGTAAACTTTGCCAAGGTGAGGGAAGCTTGTCTCAACGTTTCTGTAATAAAACTACGATTTATCTGGTTTCTATTTGCAACAATTACTTTACGGCACTGTTCTCGTCACGGTACGACATTAAGAACGCGGAGAATAAATAGGATTTTTATTTTTTCACATAAATAAGAATTTGCCAGGTTACCGTTCCACGTGCTCGTAACTGAGACGATTGAAATTTACGAATGCAATAATATCCGTGTCTTAAACACATGCTCGGAACATTCGTTTTCTTATGAGGCTTTTATTTTTTAACGAAATGATGATAAAACAAAGCGTCTGATAATTCGAGCACCGCACAGACGCTAGAAATAGTGGAACCCATCTGTGTGCGAATTATAAGATTATACATTGCACGCGTGCAGTCTGACTCAGTTTTTGTAGGGAAGATTTTATAACATCGGCGGTGAATCGGATTTTGATCAGTTTAAATCATTTTTTCAGTCCTTAAATTGTATCATACTGTCCCTGCGCACACGTCAAGATGGGCAGGGAGGACAAGGCAACGTGGAAATCCAATTACTTTACGAAACTCGTTGTAAGTATATATTTCGATATATATATTTTATGAAAATGTCTAGACACGCTTGTAACTGTGCGATGTTTTTTATAGCAACTGTTGGATGACTTTCCCAAGTGCTTCATCGTGGGTGCTGACAATGTCGGTTCCAAACAAATGCAACAAATACGCATGTCTCTCCGCGGTAACGCCGTAGTATTAATGGGAAAGAATACTATGATGAGAAAAGCGATCCGCGGACACATTGAGCGGAACGCGGCGCTTGAAAAGCTCCTTCCGCATATTCGTGGAAACGTTGGCTTCGTCTTTACTCGCGGAGATCTGATCGAAGTGAGAGACAAGCTCTTGGAGAACAAGGTCAGAGCACCAGCCAGAGCAGGTGCTATTGCACCATTGAGCGTAATTATTCCTGCTCAGAACACTGGTCTCGGACCTGAGAAGACATCCTTCTTCCAAGCTCTGAGCATTCCTACCAAGATTTCCAAGGGTACCATCGAAATTATTGTGAGCAAACGAGTCGCTTCAAATATGTAGTTCCTTTCTCGAACAATTCGAAAATCTAATGCGCGTTATTACGTTTCAGAACGATGTACACATTTTGAAACCAGGTGACAAAGTAGGTGCTTCCGAAGCCACTCTCCTCAACATGTTGAACATCTCTCCGTTTTCGTACGGTTTAATCGTCGAACAAGTATACGATTCTGGCACTATCTTCGCGCCAGAAATTCTAGACATCAAACCGGAAGATCTCCGGGAGAAGTTCATGGCCGGAGTCGCAAACCTTGCTGCCGTTTGCCTAGCCATCGGCTATCCTACGATAGCGAGCGCTCCTCACAGCATTGCCAATGGATTCAAGAATCTATTGGCGATTGCTGCAGTCACCGAGGTCGAATTCCGTGAAGCGGCTACGATCAAGGAGTACATCAAGGTTAGTATCTATTACATGCTTATTAGCGTCGTAATAACGGTCTATTTTGAATAATGACATGATGAACATCTTGTCTGAGAATTCTACGTGATAGTGCCGGAACTAGAAATAGTGGAACCCACCGGTACTGTAGAATTTTTGTCGAGAAAAGCGTATAAACGCAGTCTGATAGAACACGTCGCTCTCCTCGTTTACGTGAAACGAACGTACCTCGTGCGAACTGAATATGGTACTTTTACAGGACCCGAGCAAGTTTGCTGCCGCAGTTACCGTTGCTGCACCAGCTGCGGCTGCTGCCGAAGCACCTGCTGCCGAGAAGAAGGAAGAGAAGAAAGAGGAATCCGAGTCCGAAGACGAGGATATGGGATTCGGTCTCTTCGATTAAAACGTATACCGTTACGTGATGTGATTACGTAATGTTAACGAACCAGACCTTCGAAGGTGTTCAAAACGTTGGAATAAAAAAAATGATTTCTGACATGTGTTCTGTGAATCCAGCCCCGTCCCTTGTTATTTTCCTATTTTCCTGTGTAGTTTCATCATTTTATATCACATAATATAGGCGATTATCTACGTGATATAACTGATACTGAATTGTCACTCGATATCATTGATAAAATTTGAAAAACTGTGGTGCAATAATCTAGACGAATAATTGTTAAATTGTCTATTCGGCGAAAGAAGTTATATAAGTTCTTGTCCGATGATTAAACTATACGAAAGTATGGGGAACGTAAAGGTATGAACTCGTCTCGTGTAACTGCGAAGTTTAAGTATACGGTTCTAATGTGTGCATGCAATAATCGGTAATGATGCATGATTTGTAAATAATAGGTATACGTCTAGGCAAAATCGGCGGACGCGACTATTCTGCACTTAAAAAATGTCACTACTCATCTGTGCACTATCAGTGAAAGAATTAAATAAAAACCAAGTATATCGCTTAAACTGATCCCAACGATTACATGTATGTTACCTTTCTGACATTAGATATATACTTGTAAAGAAAACAATGATTACTTGTGTAAATACGCGGTTACTCAAGTTTCAGCGATACGCGCAAACATGACTTGACAGTATTTTAAGCTGATATCTCCGAGCCTCTAAACGCTTGTTACTCGGAAGTTGCGGTAGGAGGGTATAGGTATGATTATCTTGTATTTATAAACCATCGAAAGTGACGGGATAGTTCGTACAAGACTCAGAACTGCTCAGAGCCAGAGGATCGTGGTGTGGTTAATGTACTTGCATTTGTACGACGCGTGAATGGTGTTGTGCTTTATTTCACTTGATTACACTGTAGAATTTTGATCATCTAGTTAAATTGTGCCTCGGTGCAACTCGGCTCAAATCGGATTCAGTCGATACCGTCGATACTGCGCGAATTCTGTTTCAAGCATTAAATTTTTGAAAAAAGGAAGAGCTACTCAATAATTTAAGATCGACCTGTACAACCATGGGTTTATTATCCGAGGGCAGCCCTTTAGATTGGGAAAAAACGAAGGATCTTGCTGATCACGTTCGAAAACATGGGATTATTCAATTTATTAACCTGTATAAGAGACTCAGAGACCGCCAGGGTGATATACTCAAATGGGGCGATGAGGTAATGTTCATTTCTCAGTTTCCTACATCTTACACAACATTCGTAAATTCACCGTGCAATGTCACGCGAAATTAAGTTAAGATAGACTCTATAGCAGAGAGTTCTGCGTGCCTCTGTTGCACAACGTTTAATTGCTATAAAGAAAATGTTCACGTTCCTTAATGACCACAATTAATCTTTAACTCTACAAAGATCAACCTTCTACGCTTCTCTAGATTATTTATAGTATAATTTTAATATTATTTGCTATCTATATATAAGTTTCCTGCTCGGGGTTACATGGCATTCTTGATAAGATTATTGATTGAAGCAATAAATGTTGCAGGCAATTGTAGCTCTTGGAACTATTACAAGATACGACCTTGAATTTTCTCCACCTATAACTTAGAGCTAAGCCTGACTCAGCTTAGGTTTAAATCCAACCTTAGCGACCATTTTAATATTCCTGATAAAAGACTTTTAATTCCTAATAAATCATTGATTTCAAAACAGGTGGAATACGTACTCGTTAAGTTTGATGATGAAGCAAAAACTGCGAAACTTAGTTTAAGAGCTGCCGATATACTACAGGTCTTAAATGAGAAAGAACAAAGTGATCCAGAGTAAGCCTCTTCCTTTCGGAAAAGAATTTAATCCCAAATCTATTTTGTAGTACATATGTCTATATTTCATGTTAAAACGCGTTTAACGATATCACTTTTCCACAGCAATATTAAATCGTTATGGAGACCCGAATATGGTGCTTACATGTTGGAGGGAACACCGGGGAAACCGTACGGTGGTCTATTGGTCCACTTTAATATTGTCGAAGCTAACATGAGATACAGAAGGCAAGAAGCGTCCAAGTTACTTGGACCTAATGAAGTTTTAATGTCTTTAACCAATTTCCCAAGGTGTGTAAATTTGTGTGTACATTGGAACATCGTTCGTCAGATACGTATCGACAGTATGTGAAATATATTTTTATAGAACAGGGGCACAAGATTTCACTGATCCTCCCACGCGCTCCACTCCTGACGACGGGGCAGCGAGAAGTTTATTTTTCCCAGACGAAGCTATTTATCCAGGTCATCCACGATTTAAAACATTGACGAGAAACATAAGGAAACGACGCGGTGAAAAAGTTGCCATAAACATTCCTAGTAAGCATTCGCTTTACCCCTGCTCGTGTCTCTGAACCTTGACACGAGATCCATCTGTTTACAGTTTACAAAGATGAAAATGTACCAAGACCGTTCAAAGAAGATTTCAGTAATCTGGTCGACGACGAATCAAATTATGCTGCACAAGAAGATCACATTTACATGGACGCTATGGGTTTTGGGATGGGTTGTTGCTGTCTACAGCTGACTTTCCAGGCTTGTAACATACAAGAAGCGAGGACGTTGTACGACCAGTTAGCACCGTTGTGTCCGATAATGGTCAGTAACTCTTAAGAGAATAATTATACTTCGACAAACTCTGACGGCCTGGAATTAGCACATACTTTCGCGTATACTTTACAGAATAATTGTTTAACATTCGACAGTTGGCTCTAACTGCTGCCAGCCCGTTTTACCGAGGATATATAAGCGACGTCGATTGTCGATGGAACGTGATATCTTGTTCTGTTGACTGCAGAACGCGGGAGGAACGTGGCCTAAAGCCTCTGAAGGAAAACAAATTTAGAATAAGTAAATCTAGATACGATTCCATCGATTCGTACCTCAGCGAACAAGGAGAGAAATACAACGATGTGCCTTTGACGTACGACGATGAAATATATAAACAGCTCTTAGACAATGGAATTGATAAATTACTCGCGCAACACGTAGCACATTTATTCATCAGGGACACCGTATCTCTGTTTTCTGAGAAAATAAATCAAAACGATGCGGAGGATACCGATCACTTCGAAGTAACTATCGTCGTTATTACTAATCGTGACCGTAAAAATAGGACTTCGTACGATGCGAACACATAAATCGATCGTTTCAGAATATACAATCGACGAATTGGCAAACGATGCGATTTAAGCCACCGCCACCGAATTCCTCTATAGGGTGGCGAGTGGAATTCCGTCCGTGCGAGGTTCAGATCACTGATTTCGAGAACGCTGCAATTGTCTGTTTCATCGTTCTTTTGACAAGGGTCATTTTGAGCTACAAGCTGAACCTTTTGATACCTATTAGTAAGGTCGACAAAAACATGGCCCGGGCTCAAAGAAGGAACGCCGTCGTAGCAGAGAAATTTTGGTTCCGCCGAGACATTACATCGGATGCGAAACAGCAAGATGATGGACAACCAGAATATACCGAGTTCACTGTTAACGAAATCATCAATGGAAAGGTATCACGACGCCTCTTTTTCAGGAGCGAAGCAAATCGATGGAGTATAAACGAACTTAAAGGTATTGTTTTATTTCAGGACGGAGTCTTTCCTGGTTTAATACCGTTAGTGAATTCGTATTTAGCAAGCATGGACGTAGATGCTGATACTCACTGTACTGTACAAGGATACATGAAATTAATCCAAAAGAGAGCCTCTGGCGAGTTACTAACGACTGCCGCATGGTTGAGGAAGGAAGTTCTTTCACACCCAGAGTACAAGTAAGCACTCCTTTTCGGACAGACGCGTAACATTTTTAAAAACGTTTGAAACATTTTCCCACATCTTTAACTCTACGTTTCATTGATACAGACAGGATTCCGTAATAACGCAACGCATCAACTACGATTTGTTAAAAAAAGTACAGAAGATCGTATCTAACGAAATATCGTGTCCGGAATTACTTGGGACGTGTATATCGTCCAAGACTAATGAAACTATACCTGCGGCAGTGGCAAAAGCAGAGAATATCTCGCTATGAGACGTTGCTGTTGACGTCGACGAGCTTAAATAGATCGTAATTAGTTTGAAACTAATTCTTATTTATTTTAGTACGCTTCAGATGTTGTTGTACGTACTTTACTACACTTAAACTTGTGTGTTCAAAAACTATGGTTCAGTGGTCGGAAAAGAAGAAAAATAACATTCCATGAATTAATTTTGTAAAAACACGATATCTGTCTTAACGACGAAGGAACCGATCATGATACAGTTTATTCATACGATTAAACACGAATCATTGAAGGAGCGTACATTCTGTCCTTTTAAGATCGGAAGTTGTAGCTAGCAGGTAAACGAGTAGCTTTCTCAGATCAAATGCATTTTACATTGTCTTGTTTTTTTTATAACTTTCAAATTTTTTTGTAATCTAAGTAAAACCGGAACATTATGTTTAATGTGACATGCTTTTTACACTATAATGTCATTGTTGTGTTTCACGTTACAATACTATATTGTTTATTTAGTGATAGACATAATTCTGTAACTCTCATTTTCGAGCCACGTTGGTATTCGGAAAGTATAAAATTTACAAGTAATAACATTCGTATTTGAAAAGCATATATTTTTATAGGTTTGCATTTTCATTATATTACCAATCTTTCTGTTCCTAAACTTGTCCTGTAGCAGATGTAAGTGTTCCAAAACAGAGCTACTACTTGTACTACTAGAACCTGATATTGTAGACTTACGACATAAAAGTTAATTAACTGTACCATAGGCCAAAGCTGAAACAATGTCGGATTCACCAGTTGTTCTCTTACGAAACTAGTTAAATATGTGTAGTACAAGTTGAGTAGTAAATTGCCAATTTATATTAATCTGTATTACCTTATAATTATTCTTTAAAATATCGGGATACTCGTTGCGCAGCTTCACTTTTAATTGTTCTAAATCGTTCCCTTGTAAAATGCCGATTGTCGACAGTAAAACTGCCAAGAAAGAGGGTGCGAAAAGCAGCTGATCGCAGCACACCTTCTTTAACACTACGAGTCCTCCTTTCGAACCGATACGTTTGTCTAATATTCCATACCAGGTTCTCAAAGTAGGTCCCTGCCACATGATTTACGTAAGCTGTACGCAACAATCATTACGCGATCTTACGCAACAATATGTATCGTGCATGTCATTAAATGGCGTATTTAACAAGATGTTGGCGTAATTGTTAATGATTTCAATGAACGGGGATGATACGTCGAACAATTGGAAATGGAGATTTTAAGCACATTTGCATCGGCAGCTTTTTTACTTACAGCTACAAAAAATCCAATACTCCCAAACTGTGCTGTCCTTACAAAATCTAAATCCTTCCATTGTCGTCGTTCAACTACGTTTTGCGCGATCTGATCTCCAAGTGCCATTAAAGTGCCTGTCCAAATTATTATTATTTTACATTATGTGAAAGATCACAGATTCTCGGCATTTTCGAAGCATCTGTATCTATTTGTTTACCAGCTTGCACCGCTTGAGTAATTAACGGATATTTCGATAATAATTTCCGATACGATTTGGTAATATTCCAAAAACTTGTAGAGAATGACATTTTGTTCGAAAAATTTTCATAAAGATCTATCAGAATTTTATGTTAAGTTACTCATTAAATTCACATGCATTATCCGTCTTTGACTTAATTCCGATTATTCCAAACGAGTACCCTTACGGTCAACGCATTTTATGGTTCTTATGTTAAAAACACACGTGATTAGTATATTTTGACCACGTTATGTGTCCGTTTGACATACGCGAAAAATGAACGTAGTGGGTAACACGATCATAAGCACGTGGATTTATCCGTTTACAAAGGATTTGTAATCCATGAAACTCTATACCAGTCGTAGAGCATATACTACTGTTCCGCACTGTTCCTCAATGACCTGAAGACATAGATTTTATCAGGATAATCGCGTATGGCTATATAAATGTTATAAACTATAAAACGTCATACCGTCGTACCGTCGCAACGTCGCACCAACCATGGTCGGTCGTCGCAGTCGCACCGTCGCACCGTCGAGTATTGTTAGTAATATGCGTGTATTGACCCATGCGCACTACAACTGTCAGAGAGTCAGAGAGTAAAGATGGCAATGAGAGGTGGCAGAGGAATCCTTTTCCTCGGAATTTCGTGTATTTTCTTATTAAAATTGTGTAATGGAGCCGCGACAGACATTGAATTAGACGCGAAAGCACAGTTATTACATAGGCTCGATAGTTTGAATCTGTTATTGTACACATTTTTACTAATATTAACTGTTTTAACAATATGGACATTTAAGCACCGTCGTCTTAGGTTCCTCCATGAAACTGGTCTAGCTGTCATTTACGGTAAGTCGTCTGCTATCATTCACTTTTTACATTAACTAGACATGATTGCATATTGAGTAGATTTCGATCCCGATCGTTGTTTATAACGATAGCTTTTCATTTCGCCTATACGTGTACAGGTTTATACGTTTTATATATACCTGTCCGATATCTATCCATTTAGGAAAACGCATTGTATAATATCCTTTTTATATGCTATTAAAACTTAATTGCCGATGTTATCGACAAGATTATATGCGATTAACGCGTGAAATGAAAGTACATATTTAACTTGCATCTATTACAAGACAAGTCGAATACTTTGTATCAGGTATGGAATTTTGATCAATGCTTTTAGATGATTAATGTCTCTGTTTGAACTAGTACGAAAGTATCTATGTATACATACAAAGAAGTTTGAACATTACATGTCACGTTGTACATCCGTACGCAGTTTCGAAAATTTACGTTAAGGACAGACGTGATTACATGTAATGGTATCTTTTAGGATTAATTATTGGAGCAATAATTCGTTATGGCTTCACGTCGAGTAGTACCATTCTCCACATGCCCGTTGTGCCAGACAACAGCAGTAAATATAATCAATCAGTTCCTCCAGACACGTTATGGCTACGTTTTCCAGAAGACAAAGGAGGTGGCATCATCAAGAATAAAACGTTCGCTTATTCCTTCAGAGGAGAGATTTATAAGCAGGATAACGAGATAGACTTGAAGGTAATGGTCGTTCTCGATATCAGTAGCAGTCGTTTGTATTGTCAAAGTAAAACTGAATCATGAATAAAAGGGCACAAAAACATTTTAACAGGCTACTTTCGATCCTGAGATATTTTTCAATATTATTCTGCCACCGATCATATTTCACGCTGGGTACAGTTTGAAACGAGTAAGTAACATCACGCTGTGATGAACAATCGAGATCTACGTACGGTCACGTTACGTTTCTGTTGTCTGTTTCAGAAATACTTCTTTAGAAATTTGGGAGCAATTCTTATGTATGCTTTAATTGGTACATCTATATCAGCTTTTGTTATTGGGTAAGTTATTAATAAGGAGGAATCTGTTATGTACATGAGTGTAACCAGTAGGAATATAATTTCTCGTGACGATAATCGGTCATTTCTTTCGTAGCTTTTGCGTGAAATGTTTGTCGTGATAATTCTGCGTCCATAGGTCAGTTAGATTGAACGTATCTGTCACTTTCCTCACAGGCTGTAGATAAAATGAAATATTCCTTGTAACACGAGGACATACTTTTTTTCTTTAATCAAACGTTCGTTTTGTGTATATATACGTCGTCTCCTTTTCCTTCCAGAGCTTTGATGTATGCCTTTGTACGATTACTACCGCATCATTCTGATTTTACATTTTTGGATACTTTATATTTTGGTGCATTAATATCTCCCACGGATCCACTGACAATAATTTCTATTTTCAATGATTTACACGTAGATGTAAATTTATATGCTTTAGTATTTGGAGAAAGTGTATTAAATGACGCTGTTGCGATTGTACTTAGTGGGTATGTATACGAAAATACGTATCGATGATTTTCACGCGTAATTTTAATTAAATGCGTATACGATTTGTTGTACATATGTTTCGTTACAGTGCCATACAGAATTATGGGGAACGTTATCAGTCGCAGTCAGGCGAATTCGAAACCGTAGCATTTTTCCAAGCGTTCGGCGATTTCGTTGGAATATTCAGCTTGTCTCTGTTCATTGGTGCCACCATGGGCTGTATCACTGCTTTGTTAACTAAATTTACTAGGGTCAGAGATTTTCCTCTTCTTGAATCGGCATTGTTCGTTCTGATGTCTTACAGTACCTTCTTAATTGCCGAAGCATCCGACCTCACAGGTAACGTCCCGTTACAGCATTTAAAAATCTCAATTACATCCAATTTCATCGCTCCATAACAATTGTTTAAACACAGGTGTAGTCGCTGTCTTGTTCTGCGGCATATGTCAAGCACATTACACGTATAACAATTTAAGTCCGGATTCACGTCAACGGACGAAACAATTGTTCGAACTTTTAAACTTTTTAGCTGAGAACTTCATATTCAGCTATATCGGTGTTTCGATGTTCACTTTCCCGAAACATCACTTCGATCCAGGATTCATTTTCGCAGGATTCGTATCCTTATATCGTACTATAGAAATTATCGTTTTACGACTCGCGTGTCTTTGGTAAGATCCTTAACCACCCTGTCGTAGCTTTGCGCGTTGTTAGGTCGCGCAGCTAACGTGTATCCGTTGTCTTTTATATTGAACCTAGCTCGTAAGCCGAAGATATCGTTGAACTATCAACACATGTTGTTCTTTGCTGGCTTACGAGGAGCTATGAGTTTTGCTCTGGCTATTAGGAACACTGTCTCTGATGCTCGTCAAGCCATGCTAACGACGACGAGCCTGATCGTAATTCTAACGGTCATCTTCCAAGGCGGAGCGACGACCCAGTTTTTGAGCTGGTTTAATATACCGTACGTGTGAATCAACTCTTACAGTCATCTCTTTTTTTACACCTCGTTTATCGAAACCGATCGTTTCCTTCTGCAGAGTCGGGGTAGACGAAGAGATAGAAGGATTGTCACACAATGGGATGCGAAGTGTAAGTGTCACGAATTTGTCACGAATCAGTGTACTGTCACTAGTTTTCTTCTTACAGAAATAATATAACCATTAACACACTGTGTGTGTTCGATTTCTTATGTACCATAGACGTAGAATATTTAGTAACATGCAGTAACAACTTTGAACGAGAACGTGAATAGATGTTAAAATTTAGCTTAGCTTACTAATTACTAATACAGGATTTGGTAATACGATCCAACGATCTTTTACTTTGCAAGATCGTCGGATTTTGTTTCTCTCTTTTTAATGAAAGAGCGTCGGATCTATGCACCGGCTCCTGTATTTGTTTCAAATGAATGTGATTGTTATACATATTGTTTTATAGATTCGCTGGAGGTGCACATAATTTTTGTCATGTTGCTTATTAACATAGACTGAATTTGTTATTTTTATTTATTTATTATGCATACGTGCTACAGTGTGTAAACGATGAACGAATAATCTTTGAATGGTGTACTCACCGTCGTTGAAGTTGAGAGTGTTCAAAAGCAAAATTTTAATAAGGTCAGCCTCATTGGACAATTTATTTCTGAATATCAGAAAGCATCTCTATACACAAAAGCATAACGCTTGAAGGAATATTGATTTTTATTTTTTTTTATTGATCCCATCTCGTGTATACATGTTTATATATGTCTTCAAATTTTAATTGGAAACACGAGTTAAGTAGAGACTGTTTAGACCATCGATTTCCTCGGTTCTTTGTTCGTATTATGTACGTAGACGATTCTCTGACGTACGTAAAGTATTCGAAGTAGCCGAGTGTAATGTTTCCTTAGAAACAAAGCAAGTGTATTTACGCATGAAAGCTTCGAGGTTGATCTCATACCTCTGTACTCTTTGTCCTTCACTCCCACACGTAATTATTCCAACTACTGCGGTGCACCTTTTTAACGTCACGTAATAACGGTCGATGAAAGATTCTGAGAGAGACGTCTTCTAGTTTCACTTACAAAATAACACCGGATCATTCACGCACAGAAATAACAAAGATCATCGTACAGTTTGCACCGAAATTGAATTTGCTGGGTAATCTAGCATGTCTCCTTACGTTGTAACAGCATTGACGAAACTGTTTTGTTTGATCTTAAATACTTACGCTTAACAATTGATCTAGAGAGAAAAGAATACTGGAATTTAACGTACTAATGTTAATAGTCCGGTGGCGAAGGTGGCTTTGGAGATCTGGACATGCGTAGGGAGAGAAGTCCGCCGGTACGTTTTCATATTAATTCCAGAATTGAGTTATGCTATTTATGTGGTCACGAGAAATCCATTTCACAAATGTCTTGTCTAAGAGATCCATACGATTCTATAGTTTTTTGTAGTATACATTTAGTTGTTTGTTACGCAGCCATGCGATGATGATTTTCGTACATTCCAAGTAGTGCCATACGAGTTGCTTTCTGTCGTTAGTACAGAGATAGAATTGAATTTTAAGATAGGAACCGCATCGATCAACATTGTCTTATTAAAATATTTGCAATGACCACTAATTATCGCACCGTGACAATACTTTAATTCATCCTCTGTTTTCTCGGAGGAGCGATGAAGATGTTCCTGGTTTTCTCGTTTGAACGTTTCAAGTGTATCTCTCTAATACATATGTGTATACAATAATTTTATTGAACGAGCAGCTCTATTTAATCAAACGTTCTGCCAAGTTTAACATTTTGATAGTAATATCGCTTGGATGTGCGTCTATTTAAGTTATTTTATTTATTTCCATGAGTTGCCAACTGCATGCGCTTTGACATTTGTTTTTGTATCATTTTTGTTATCCATTCTGTATGTTGATGACTAGTAGTGTACAAAATATTTATATCCATCTTAACAACGTATATTTAAATGGAAACACGATTAACAAGGTATACCGATACACATGACGATGGACGATCAAGCATGTATTTTAATACCTAATAATAACTCGGAATTTATAAATTAAAATGATTACGCAGGAGAAACATGCATACACATTTCGATTTGTTCAGTTAATTATTTTAATTATCTTTTGTGAGCGTAATGTCCTAATGAATAATTTAAAGAGGCATCATTATCATACAGGATGGATAATCATAATATCCTTCACGTTTCACAGTATAATTCTATGCAGGATGGAGCACTGCCAGGCAGTGGCACGAAACCTAATGAAAAAGCGTTACTCGCTAGAATCTGGGGTGACTTCGATACGCGGTACATGAAGCCGCTGTTGACCCATTCCAGGCCTACGTTGTTGGAAACATTGCCAGTCTGTTGCACTCCTTTAGCCAGGATCCTGACGACGACGCAACAAATGACGCAGGTAATTGAGAACGTTGTTCGACTGCGTCGGTTATAGGCTTCTGGATGTCTAACGTCATGGACGCTGTTCCAGGATGAAGGCGTTAGAAAAGCGGATTCAGATTCTGATTTTTGCCTCGAAGATCGTGAATTAGAGCGGCGAAGGACTAGTATTCAACCGGTGAGTTTTCATCAACCTAATCTCAATTACACTATTAATCCGTGCTATCAGCCTAACAGCACAGACGCCACTAATCCAGACGAACCTTACGTAATCCTTAATTTACACAGAAGGTAGAAGTACTGGATATACGGACATAGAAATTTTGTATAAATATTTGCGTGGGAGAAAAAACGATATTTCTTACATCGGTATGAACGAACTTTCGTATCATTTGTACTTAATTTTTCGTGTAATCACAGTTTGAACATTGTTCCAAATTATCTGTCTGTCGTACCACTTACATAAACGAAAGGAGGAAAACACTTGTACAACATAGCCTTTCCATTTTATATGAAAGCAATACCAAGTTCCGGCGTTACGTGGTGTCTCTTAGTGTCTCGAGCTTCTTGTGGCCATCAGCAGTTACAAAAATTTCACTTGTCGACTATGCCTTACTAACTTATAAGTAACTCGCTTGTGCTAAACTCTTTCATATAAAATGTACAGAATATGCATGGAAATCTTATTTTTCTTCACTAAAGGTGTACAGTGATACGCGTACGGAAGATCACATGAATCTTTTCTTCTTTTGCAAACTATTTTGTAGTGTACGTTGAATTTGACTGTGAGAAGAATGTAACGGTATATAAAGTGGAATACTATTGTGTATCACTGTAACGTTTAGGATTTACGGTTCATTAACGATACTGACGGTGTCTTGTTACACTGGCAAAACAATCGGTTAGTCATGAAATATACTGAACTTGAAATGCTGTTGTACGGGCATGAGTTTATTATACGTACATAGTCTTCTTACCAAAGTTATTTTACGAGATGCAAAAGAGAAAATGTATGCAACTGTTCTAGTCGTTAAATTACCTGTAATATACGCATTAAGAATCAATGGATTAGGATTCATTTGAAGATCAGTGTGTGTGTAACGCTATACTTTGACATTTTCTCCTTCACGTAATCTACCTGGATTAAGTGTGAAAAATTCTTATTCCGTTCTATATATATATATATATGTGTATGTGTTTCGTTTCATTCGAAAATTATGTTTAATGTCTGATGTTCTACAAACGAGGTTTTCAAATATAATTTATCGTTAATTTACACGTTGAGAGTTTGTGTTCTTCATCAAATTTATATACTCTTTATCAACGTAGAGCGATCTCTTTAGTCTACATTTGATCGCGCTCTTAACGATTTTTTTAGAGAAAAAGAAATGATGATGATGATGATGATGATGATGATGATGATGAGGACCTAAGAATCATTGGAATGGAAGGATTTATTCCATTAAGAACGTTGTAACGAGACAGAAGCCATTGAAAATAATGTTTTGTGAAGGTTATTTTTAAATACTTTGTACAATATTTGGGGGTAGGAGAAACGATAAAGAAATAGTTACTTCTGTATATACTGAAACGTCTTAATGATACCTTTAATTTGTTTGTACTTATTGATGTTAAACGAAATTCCTGTCGAACGTTCCTGTACTCTGAAACGATCTTTTATTACTTCATTTCTTTTTGTTTCTGGCGCACATTTATTTAAAAACGACATCTCTTAATTCGTGTCAACGATCACGATCGATGTTGTCTAAAATTGTTACGTTTAGTACGTGCTTCTCTTAAATGTTAGAAATAAGTTGAAGTAATACAATATTATGCAACGAGAATAATTGTGCTGTAGGTACTTATAAATTATCGATGTGATGTGTTTTTAATGTAAATGCAACGTACACATTAACAACAGATTTCAAAGGTACACGTAGCGTGATTTTTTTGAAAGTATTAATGTAAGTAGGGTAAAGAATTTCCTGAATCTTTCATTTGTACCAAGAATTTATACGAAATTATCGATCGTAAAATATATTGTAATTGAACATTAAACATAATTTTCAGCGTTCAGTCAATTGTTCTCAAACTATTCTCAGTATGTTCCATTAAAAAATTCTTTTTATTATATTCCGTTCACGGACGAAACGTTACGCTGCAGTCTCTCTTTAGTTTATTTGTACACAGATATGCTGGAGAAGGACCTGATTTGTGTCTATCACTTACAATGGATGTTATTGCATGCTGCCTGAGAAACCAAATTACCATTCAAGGCATTCATTTTCACGTCGAACATGCTCTTTATAAATTGCCGCTTGCACACTATTTATGCCTACTGTAGAAACACTTAGAAACAATTCTTTACACCCGCTTTTCATACATTATTTACAGATCCCCCTCTATGCGATTACACTCACCTCTTAATATTTAATTCTTGGTGTATTGTTCACATAGCACTGCGTATGATTTTATGCACATGTGCTCGAGTTCATTTAATGCGTGTATATAAAAAAGAAAAATGTTCAAGTGTTACGGCACTCTGTGTAAAACAGGATAAATTGACGTTAAACTACTGTGCAATCGGCAAACGATCTTTTCCACTGAACGAGCAACGTTTTATGTCTATTATAATTTTATAAAAGCAAGCGCTTATTTTGATTACGTATTATCAATCGTACTGTACATATTCTTTTATATTTATTTAATTATTAGTCTGTATCGCTTATTTGTATTTGGTTTCTCCACAGACACATGTAAGGGGCTCTCCAAACAGAACTCATTTATAGAAGTGAATGTATAATACAGTTTATTAAGTTGTATACATTTTTGGGAATTTGGCTCGAATTATTTTAAGCATCCAGCGGTATCCTCGTTACTATCCAATATGCCATAAATGTTTATAATTACTTAACATTAACACACGTTGCTTCACACAAATCTTAATTCAGTATGTTTAATTTATAACATTTATAATTTTCTCTGTCGAAGAGAATGTTAATTTCGTCAAATACGTTGCGATCAACGTCTCGCAATCAGATGACATTGAGTCAGAAAATTTGAGCATATGCAACATACGTATAAGTATGAAATTGCTGGTGTCGAATATTACGGTATTATTGTTGTACTATAATTTCTATAAATGTTCTTTATATTTTTCTGCTATTTACTTTTTTTCGGAAATATTGTTTAATATTTTGGATAACGAAAGACATTGGCAACAAAAGGTCGAATGTAAGTATTGTATCAAGAATCAAATAATAAGGAGCAGGCGAGATAACGTGTCTGTGCTGATTAAAAAAAAACAGTATTGTCGTGTAGAATAATCCAAGAAGCCGCCTTCTCCTTATTCGTTGATCCATTCGTTTCAAGTACGACACTTGTACGTAGGAATAAATTATGCTTCAAATACATTAGTTATAAATACGATCCTTGTATGATTATATCTGATTCTGTCAGAATTACCCAGGGATCTTGGACATACGTAAAATTGATAATAATTGTATTCGGTATACTAAATAATGTGTGAGGATCTGAAGACAGATTCTTTATGTATTTAATACTTTGTGGGGCAGCTGGGAACTGTGATGGGAGAAGTTAGTCCGGGACCACTACCATTGAACACACGAGTCGCCTTGCCAGGTCTGGTCGGCAAACATTTATAGAGACTAATTAATATTGGTAAACCAGGCGTTGTCGTTTTATGTGTAATGTTACATGTGCAACTGATAAATGTATACATTTGAGAAGCTTCTATGTGCCGACTATAAAATCTAATACGTACCGTCTGTTTCGAATAATATTTGGAGAACGAATATTTTCATTTAATTCGTAATTCGATAATTTAACAATGTCAGTCTTTTCAGTAATGTACGTATTACATTTATTAGTTACAAGGCTTCGTTATATTAAAAGACAAATGGTAAACGTTATGTATAATTTTTACTTGATTTAACGGAGGTCCTGGCTCGTCGTAGTCATTATATATATAGAAAGATCTTCAATTATTCTATGCTACATTGAAATATGACAATGCGATACATATATTATATAATTGCATTATGCATTCGAAATATAGTCCACCATTCGTAATGAGAGGCAGCGCGGAAGGGAATTGGAAAGCAGACTCGGTCAGAAATTCTATATTTGTAAAGACGTGTTACACATGGAAATAGAATAACGATATTGAAGATCCTTGCAGTAACTTTACGACAATAAATTGTAATGCTGACTTAAAGCTCTTTCAACGTTTTAAAATTTCGTGTTCGAGTAGATATATGTTCAGTATAATAGAATCGATCGACGTTTTCATATTGGATGTGTCTCGCGGTGATTTAAAATTGTACTTGTTAAATCATTTGGACGGGAAACTCTTAATTTCGCTGTTCAGCAAGTTGATTTTGCTGGAATATATAATCATATTTGTATCGAAGGTGCAGGACACTTGTGCTAATACACGAATGTATGTATACCATTTACATAGATAATTTGTATTTGCATTTAGACGTGGAAACGATATAAATTTTAGTATGCAGTGAAAGTAGACTAAAACCTAGTGCCAAAGTTCACAGAAACCACGGTATGAAATGGCTACAAGAAAAAGCTTCGAAATTCTTTGGATGACACAGGATCACAGTATTTATTTCAATAAAGCTGCAAAAGGATACACTATCGAGAACATGGGAATTAAATAAAATGGTATTGTCTTCTAAACTTAACTCAGTTATTTTTTAAAGTTCCGCGATAGTGTCGCGGAATGCATGGCTCGTCGAATAATCACTGATATACAATTGACCACGTACTATTAAGGAGTGTATATGATGTACGAATATGTTCAAATATGATTTATTACCAGTAACGCGTAAAACATGAAATATAAAAGCGAAAATGGAAAAAGAGATACGTGAAATCTTATTTTAGATGTTGGCTGTGAACACTTGACAAAAATATCTGAATACGTAGTTCAAACCTTATAGGACGATTACGAGCAACACGACACGTTGAAAAACTATGTCTGCGATACGTCTACGCAATTCTTTCTAGATTTATTTATATTTAAATTAGTAAATTATTTTAGCTACGCGAAAACCGATTACTGATTGACTTTCAACAATTAACAAGCAGGATTCTAGCACGTGGCAATTACAGATGTTCTTTTCTATACGTTAGTGAATCAAACGATAT